ATGCCCCCCCGCGTCCCCGCGTGTGCCGAGTCCGCGCGGGCGCGAAGGACACCCCCTCGCGCGGGGGAGGGGAGCGCGCAGCATATATTTATATATGTGTTATTGTATAAAGCCTGGTTGTCGCCTCATCACCCCCTCCCCCCCGGGGGGAGGGGGCGGGGAAGGAACGAATGAACCTGCCATTAAGCTGTGTCGCAGTCCCCAGCATGACTCAGGGGTTATGAATAGGGCCGAGCAGCTGCATGAGCAGAAACATCATGCCTGGTAATTGCAGTCAGCCGTGTTGCCCTCCCTCCTTGTCTTGCCAGTGCCTGTTTAATGCACCACAGTTGAAAAGCTTATGGAGGGACAGCAGCTAGGGCAAGCACCCAGCCTATGGAGTGCTGTCCCAAATAGAGCTGCCCATCAAGGCTAGCAGCAGCTAATGGGTCTCTAATTCGTTGGCACTTGGATAACCACCCTGCCTTTCTTGAGACCTGAGCAAATTTGGAAAGTTTCCCCTTGGTGAAGGCAGTTGGTGCAGGGTTTAGGCCTGGGTCAACCACTATGTGTCCCTAGGTCTCATTTTCCCCAAGTAATGCTTGAATGCTTCTGCTGCCACTTTTTTGAAACAGGTGATGAGACTGAAGTATTTTAGGTGTGATATCTAAGAGGGAAAAAAACAAAGATTTGTTTTCATGACTAATGCTGTTTATAATGTTTCTGTTATAATAATATAAATAACAAGGGCCGAAGGTGTGATGTGTAATGTGCCAGTGTGCATTACAAACAGCAGACAGTTCAAGCAAACTGTTTGTAAACAAACCAAAGCAGTGGGGCAATTTTAGCCTAGTTACTCAACAGATAAGTACTTGGAATATCTTTGTTTTTATTAAGTCCAGTCTTTCACTAGAAGAAAGGAAGATACAATAAATGCATCAACATGCTCAGATCAGTAAAAAAATAATTGCTGCTGTCCTGGGGAGAATGAACAACTGAATAGGAGTATATTAGAATATTCTAATTCTTTCAATACATGCCTCATACAGAGAAGCAGAAATTTTTCAAGCATGATCTTTTATTTGTGTAATAACCTTTATTGTAGTAGGATTTGCTGAATAGGACAGCACTTGAATGCTTGATGTGTCCAAAGCTACACCAATGGCATAGCTGAAAAGATCCAAGTTTCCCATATCTCAGTCAACATTCTGCCACTGTGTTGCTTCAGAGTTAACCAGGATAAGGAAAACGCTATTGTTGTTTTGTAGGCACTTTTTGCAGGTCAATGCAGAAGAAATATAGTGAACAGTCAACTTGAATCCTGAAGTGAAAAAAAAAAAGAAAGATGAAAGAAAAAAAAAAGAAAAATGAAGAGTATGCAGTAGCTGGATCTAAGGTGCTCCTTAATGATAAAAAACAGGATCAGGAGCATAAAGCTCTGGTCTTGTTCTAGCAGTACTCAAGTAAACCCTTTAGCCTGCTCCCAAGTAACTCATAGATGAGACGTTACTGGAGGTTCTATCACTGTGTCAGTAATATGCACAGTCCGAGATGCTGGCACCAGGTGTAGGAAAGAGCCTGCTACAAATTTCCACAACAGATCACTGGATATAATAGTGCTTGCTTAGCACTAGTAGCTAAATTTACTGAAGCTTAAGGCTGCATATTCCTGAACTTTTCTCTAAATTGTCAGAGCCAGTTTGAACAAGGAGAAACAAGGAACAAGTCCAAACATGATGAGTGAGTACCATAACTACACGTGGAGACAGTGGGGAAACCAACGAGTGAAGAAGCTACTTTTTGTCAAGTAATCCTTGGTGCAACCACACAGAGAATGGACAAATCTGCAGGGATATAAATACCCAGGGAATTTTCTGCTCAGAATTGCTCTGAGGAGCCACCCAGCTTGAGCTGGAATCCTAATAAAATTATTTTATATAAAATTGTTTTGTGTCTTTTGGATAAAGAAGAAACCTAGAGTTTAACCGCATTAAGGACATTGGATCGAACAGTTTCCCTAGCGAAGATCCAGGATGTTAGTCTGTCTCCTGTGACTTACAGAGCAGTGTTTTGTGTGCTACCTACCTTTGCTTTCAAAAGCAGGCAGCAATGAACTCAGTAGTCTTTTGGTAGTGCTCTTTCTCCAAGCCCTGGTACATACACTCTGATCTCCTTGATTTTGCATGTGAGTGGGATAGATCTAAGAAATAAATTTACTTTGATGCATCTGTTTGCACAAATGGTGGTAGTTTTCAGATGCTCTTATCTCGCTTGGGAATGTGGTTCAGAATAAGTGTAGGTGCATACAGCCACGTCTGACTTCTTAAATTGTCCTTACAGTCAGTGAAGATAAATAGGCATGGTTGTGATTCTTCTAACCTGAATATAGACATCTACTTTTGGTTTGTATTGAAGATGTCAAGTGCCGTTAATGCCTTTTCCTCAAGGACACAAGAGAAAGAATTTTTCTAGCCTGTTTCACACAGACTGCCAAACTATTCTGGCCATTTTAACATATCGGATCTTCAACTCCTCCTGTTGTCCTGCTATAATGCTATGATTGCTGTGTCTCACTACAACACCCTACAGAAGGCAATTGGACTAGGCTCTTGTTTGAAAATTTGTTAGAAACCAGGGATGAGTTTTAGTGTTCTTCCTTGGTCTGATATGGCCAGTGAGAACACTGCCAGGTGGCTCCTTCTCCATGGCAAATCTGGTGTGGGAATCACAAACCTCCTCACTCAGTCCTAAAGATGCAACCCTAGATGTGCAGCCATGAGTCTCACTCCTCCCACTTCCTGCTTCTTTCCATCAGCCACCGAATTCCTGGCTGTCTCCAGTAGCTCAATAATAACAATAACGTCACTGGCGCAACAGCAGTCAGGAAGATGATACATGCAGAAAAAGTGACAAACAGGTGATCATCTGACTTTGAGTTCCTATTAAAATGCCAAGTCATGGGCATGTGACAAACTCTGGGTCTGTGTGCTAGCAGGAATTGGACATGAAGTTGCCTGTTTTTTCCACACTGGATACCCAGCACAAACTGGTCCACAAAGTGTCCAAACAATGTACTTTTAATCTGGAGTGTTTAAGTGTTCCAGAGCTCAACCTTTGAGCTTGTAGTGCATTTCTGTGTGTGCAGATCATGCGGGCAGCTTCACTTTAAAAAAGACTGCATTTCCAATGTTGTAGCCAGAGAAATAGGAGATAAGAATATTTCGTTCAGGTTGCCAGAAGGGTTTTGTAACCCACGCGGTACAACACAGCACTCCAAGGGCACTCCTGGGAGATTTACAATGCATTACTGGGAAATGAAACTGGTATATATATTTGCACAAATAGCTAAAATTCAGTGATTTCACAATAAGTATGTCTGTTATTTGCTGTGTCTTACGGGTGTTGCCCAGGTGAATGTCCCTTGGAACGCTACTGGAGCTGCTATTTGTTTTTGCCAGATGTTGAAACTTTGAATATCTTTGAATATTTATTCCATTAGTACACCTTCCCTGGCTATTTTTTTTCCTTTTGAACCTGCTTAGACTCACTTACTGAGTGTTTTTTTTTTCCCTCATCTTTAATGTGGTTTTAGGCATATCTAAATCTCTCTTGTCAGAAGACTTATAATGTGTAAGTTAAATTGTTATTAAAACAGAGAGGGTGTATCAGAAGTTGCTTGTAATTCTGCTCAGTTTGCTGTCTATCCAAGACACATGGATCCTTGGCACCTCCCCTGCACTGCTTGTGACTGGTCACCAGTTTCACTTGGCACTGAATCTGTCAGAATCAGTGTGGGCGCATTGGCCCTGGGTGAGGGTGCAGGTCTGGTCACTCCCAGCAAACAATGGCTCATTGTGTAGATGTTTTCCTTTCCTTTAGGAAAGCGTTCTGTATTGTCCATGCTGAACTATCATCTCAGTTATTTATTTTCTACAACTTTTTATTTTTGGAAAAGATCTGGTCACTGCCCCCAAACTGAATACTCCTATCTTTGCTCAAGTTGCTGAAATTTCTGAAATGCATACAAATAATACAATGAGGAGTTTAAAGAAAGTGCCTCTTTGCATGGTGAAAGGCACAAAAGTCAAGATCAGAATAATACAAGTTTAGTATTTAAAGATCTTTTGTTCTATCTAATGATTTGCAAGGGCATGTTGAGGAAGGGTACCATTGTTACTTAATGGTCTTGTGAAAACAAAGGAGCAACACAGTAGTTGGACCACTGGGATGTTTCTGAGTACTAGTTCTCCTCAAGTTCCACACTTTTTAAGGAAACTAAGGGAGTAGACCTCTCCTTTAGGACTTGATGCAGGTATACTCTTGTTCCCTTCATGTGGTTGTAGCCCAAATTGTTCCTTGGACAGGCTAAACATAGCAAGCAGAGACTGTTGGAAGTATCTCTTTCTCCTCTGAGATCACTTAATCTATATTTGCTCAGTTCCCACCCCTGTCCCAGTGTTTGGTCAAGAGCAGAGTTGATGAGTGACCCAAAGCTGAATCAAAGGTCAACAACTTGTTTTGATACAGTTACTTTAAGTACTTTGTACATCATTTTCCCTCATCTATAAATAAAATACCAATGCTTTTCTGACTCATAAGGAACTTGAGAACATGATTAAAGTTTATAAAGTGCATGGAGATCTTTGGATACAGATCCTTCATTATTTATTCATAACTTAAAAGAAAATTTGGTTTTGCTGACCTATTTCTTGTTTTGTATGATACTGGGATAGTCTGCCG